CCCCGGGCCCTTTGTGGCTGCTGAGGGGTGACCTTATGCATGGACACCAGAGGCGGAGGCTGGGTCAAGGTTGCTGACTCTGCCGAGAATGAAGGACTTCTCCTTTAGGCAACGGTGAGAAGGGGTCTCCACCCTCCCCCACACCACCACCACCACAACGTCCAAGGGGAAACTTCTAGAGGTTCATCAGCATGGGCCTGCTCCCACGCCCACCCCAACCCCTCGCAGGGAGATCCGTGACCCACAAACCCTTTATTAGCTACATTTAGCTACACAAATGGCTTGGTCACAGCTGACTGGTCCCTCATTTGCCAGTGATTTTCTTGTAATTGACGGTGCCTCAGTCCCCCATAATACAGGTAGAGGCGGAATATTTGTTCCCCAATTCCCCTTCCCGGGTTCCTCGTGGGCAGAACAAAATTCCATGTGAGCCACTTAATGGTTTCATTTTCTCCCTAAGTTTTGAAGGAGCGACTGAGGCGAATGCAGGCGCCAACCTCTCCCCCGCCCCCCCAAACTCCAGGTGAGTGTGGGAGTCAGGTGAGCTTAGCTTCACCTCCCAGGTCAAAGCGGAAAACAAAAGGTCTTCGCTTCCTTGGCTTCCCCTCTGGGCAAGTACCTGAAGCTGGGTCCCCTGCAGCTCTCAGGCTCGGCTCCTTCCCTCTGGTCCTCCAGCCAGGTTTCCTGGGTTATTTTGCGCCTGCATCACCTGACCTGTGCGCTCACCCGTATGAGTCCCACCTGTGCCCTTCTCCACCTCCCATCCTGCTGCTCTCCCATCACACCCCACACCCTTCCTGTGAGGTTCCCACTTTCTGGGAGCCCCTCCGTTACTGCCAGAGCCTGGGAAAGCCTCTGCCTAAATGTCACCTCCGTGGGGGAGAAAACCACTCTCCCTCTCTGTGCTGCCTTTTATGCTCTTTTTTTTGTTTGTTTTCACACCACGTGGTACTCTCCGCTGGCCTAGGTCTGCCCGCCCTCTTCCACCTGAGCTCCTTGAAGGTGTGGCTGAAGACCACCCGCTCCCCCTGTGACCCAGCACATTGAGGGGTGCAAATGCTCACTGTTTGAATGAATAGCTCAGTTCATGCGTGTGATTGTGAACTGACCTCGCCATGAAACTGAGACCCTCAAAGGCCTTCCGTGTGTGTGGGCTTCCCCGCTGTCGCGGAAACCTGCACCCTGCAGCGCACACCCAGCGGCTAGCTCGCCTTCCGGATGGCTTCCGCATGGAAAGGGTGCCATCTGATGGTGTCTAGAGAAGCAGCCTCTGAGTTCTGAGAGTGGAGAGGACTTTGTCTAAGTCCGTGGTCGGCAAACTGTGGCTTGCGAGCCACATGCGGTTCTTTGGCCCTTTGTGGCTCGGCTCTTCCGTAAAATACCACAGCCTGAGTGAGTCTATTTTGAAGAAGTGGCGTTAGAAGTAGTTTAAAAATTTTGGCTCTCAAAAGAAATTTCAGTCGTTGTGCTGTTGGTATTTGGCTCTGTGGACTAATGAGTTTGCTGACCACTGGGCTAAGTGGTGGGGAAGGAGCTCAGCAGCCCTTGAGCACCGGCAGCCTGCGTGCCAGCCACTTCTTGCCTGCGGACTGAAAGGTCCCGGGTTCCATTCCGGTAAAGGGCACGTGCCTGGGGGTTGTGGTCTCTATTCCCCAGTAAAGGGGTCTGCAGAAGGCAGCCAATCAATGGTTCTCTCTCATCATTGATGTTTCTAACTCTCCCTCTCCCTTCCTCTCTGAAATTTCTATATATATATATATCAAGTGACCAGAATGACGGAACTATGAGTCACTAGGACATGCACTGTTATGGCCAACCGGCCTGATTGGGGCCCCAATTGCCCCTGCACCCAACCTCTCACGGCCCCTCCCCCTGGACGGCCCTGCCCCTGATCAGCCCCTGCATCCAGATCAGGGGCGGGACCAGCTGACCAACCTCCCTTGTCCCCTCCCCACCTCTAGCCTGGTCCAATGGGCTCCCATGAGGTAGGCCAGACCCTACCTGTGCATGAATTCATGCACTGGGCCTCTCTCTCTCTCTCTTTCTCTCTCTCTCTCTCTCTCTCTCGTGTGTGTGTATGTGTGTGTGTGTGTGTGTGTTTAAAAGAAATGTTCCAAGTTCTTCAGAAAAAGGGAAAGGCTATAGGTCAGAAACTTGGATCTCCATAAAGAAAGGACTAGTGCTAGGGAAGGCAAAACTAAACCCCTGAGTGAATCATACAAGCCACACTTCCCTGGGGAAATCCCTCCTGTCTCAGTCCACCCCCATTCTCTCCAGCGCCCCCCTAACCTCCAGGAGCACTCAGCATGATCTGCTTCCCACAGTGCCATGATGAGCTGTGTTCTGTCTCCCCCAGGCCTGAATGCTGTATCCCCAGATACAAGCCATGAGGTGCTCAGTGTCTGGGAGGGAGAAGAAAGGAAAGGGAAAGGGAAAGGGAAAGGGAAAGGGGAAGGGGAAGGGGAAGGGGAAGGGGAAGGGGAAGGGGAAGGGGAAGGGGAAGGGGAAGGGGAAGGGGAAAGGAAAGGAAAGGAAAGGGAGAGAGAGAGAGAGAGAGAGAGAGAGAGAGAGAGAGAGAGAGAGAGAAGGAAGGAAAGAAGGAAGGAAGGAAGGAAGGCAGGCAGGCAAACAGGCAAACACTCATACTCGGTACCAAGGAGGTGGTTAAATAGTGTGTCTCTTTATTAGCAGTTCACTGTGAATACTCTAGTGTTGCCACTGGCACAAGGAAGGGCTCGCCCACTGGACTCTGTCCAGTGTGGTTGCTCCTCAGGTCAAAGAGGAGGTGGACATTCTTCTTACACAGGCTTCCCCTTGGCCCTGAAGGACATCAACCTGGGAAGCAGGGGAAGATCACAGAAAGGATCACCGAAATGATAAAGGACCAGATGTACGATGGCTCCTCCCTCACAGGGCTGGACACAGAGAGCGGAAAATCCACGTTAGAAACAGATGGGGGGCAGGGGTGTTAGACGGAGCTGAGATGGAAGCCTGGCTGCTCCAAACTTCAGAAGCCCCTGCAAACACCTCCGATTCTTCCTCTCCGTTGATATTAGCAAACTGCCGGCATGGTGTGAAGCAAAGACTGAACGCCACGGTCCTCAAGGCAACCTGCGGAAGCCTGAGGAAACTGAGGCACAGAGCCATAAAGCCACTTGCCATAGTGGAGCTGGGTTGAAACCCAGCATCTGCTCCCAAGACTTGGCTGAACCTCTGCCATCTGCCTCATGGGCATGGACAAGGCCCCCCTCTTAGCGTTGTTTTAAATCACATGAGAACTCTGGACTAAGTTCCTTGTGCGGAAGCCGGCATATAGTAAGTGCTCAGTAAATGCCACCTTACATCTCCATGCTCTTCCTTTAAGCTCATCGGGGTCAGCTGAATCTAAATGACTCCTCTACTCTCTCTGCCCACCCCTCTTCTCTCCCTCCACCCTCCCTCACCCCATGACAGCCAGCACAGTCTTTCCCTCCTGGCAGAAGCGCAGTAACCATCTCCTGAATGGATGGTTTTCCACCTTCCAGAGTCACATAAACAGCCACTGCTGTGACCCCTGCTACCAAAGGCAGGCTAAGAGGCCACGCGACCCAAGTCATGGCCCTACTTAATGGCAGGGACCAAACTGCCATTCACTCCTGATGCCAGTGCCCTGCAATCCTGAGATTCAAGATGGGGTCAGCAGTGGGCATTGCCTGAGAGCATCAGAAATGCAAACCCACGGGCCTCATCAAAACCTACCACCACATCCCAGGCGGTCCCCAAGCTTGCGCACAGGTGAGAAGCCCTGGATTATGACACCAAGGCTAAAAGAGGCAGAGGCCAGTCTGAACTTGACTCTAAGTCCTTCCAGAAATCTAATGAGTGATGTCCGAGGAATGGCAGCATGAGAGAGCCCCTTGGTCTCTCCCCCTGAAATTTCAACAACTGGAACATCTGTAACTCAACAAAGGATTCCCCACTCAACACACAGGCCCACCTGAGCGACCCGTGCATTGATGCTACCATATGACCTAGCAAATCCCTCTTTCTGGATACATTTCCTGAGAAACCCGAGAATGCGCATTCACAAAAAACATATGCTTCCCTGTGTTCATTGTAGCCTTACTCATGGTGGCCAAGACATGGAGACAACCAAAGTGTCTTTGACAGATAAAGAAGATGTAGCACATATACACAATAGTATATTAGCCAGCCATAAAGAAGGATGAAATACTGCCATTTGTGATCCCAACATGGATGGACCTTGAGAATACTGTACTAAGTGAAATAAGTCAGGCAGGAAACGTGAAGAACCACATGCTTTTACTCACATGTGAGACATAACACTGAAACGCATGGGCACAGCCGTGTGCTGGATATCAGAGGGAAGGGGTGGAGGGGGGCTGGGGGGCAGAGGAGGTCTCATATATGGTGATGGAAGATGGTTTGACTTTGAGTGGTAGGCACACAGTGCGACATTGTGTATATAGAAATGGGCACTAGAAACCTATATGATCATACTAACCAATGTCACCTGAATCAATTTCATTTTTAATCTTTTTTTTTTAAGAAGGAAATGTAGCTGAAACTGGTTTGGCTCAGTGGATAGAGCATCGGCCTATGGACCAAAAGGTCCCAGGTTCGATTCTGGTCTAAGGGCATGTACCTTGGTTGTGGGCACATCCCCAGGAGGGGGTATGCAGGAGGCAGCTGAACTATGTTTCTCTCTCATCGATTTTTCTCTATCCCTCTTCCTTCCTCTCTGTAAAAAAAATTAACAAAATATATATATATATTTTTTAAAAGAATAAGAAGGAAATTTAAGAGAGGGACTGCGGAAGCCTAAGGCAGCTAGTACCTTCTCTCCCACCTGCTCTGGCCCCAAGTGCAGGCCATCACCAACAGGGAAAGGCTAAGCCTGGCTCTCAGGCCCCCCTGCCCGGGGCACTGCCTTCCTCCCTGCCCAGCTTCCCCCTCTTCTTCGCTGGCTCCTCACCTGCCAGCTCTCTCACCTGTTGCTCTCAGCACTCTGAGTAGGAACATCTGTCAAAATCCTGAGATGATTCATCCGAAAGCTGGCATAAGCTGCAAGGCACAGAGGAGAGAGGGGCAAGGCAGAGGGGGTAGGGAACACGCTGAGCCCACCCAGAGAGGATGCCCAGCCCACGGTCCCCGGTGGGTGGGGCAGGCAGCCCATGCCTGGACCAGCACCACATCTGGACCTGGGGGCAGTGCCTTACCAAGAGGCACTCTGCCCAGACCTGCTCCAGGCTCCACCAGATCTAGGTAGGAGCTGGGGCTAAGGGAAACCATCAGAAACGAGGCCAGCAGCCCACCGGTTCCCAGTTAGGAATACAAATCAGCTTGTCCCAGCAGCTTACCTTCGTCTCACCTGCTCTATTCGTTGCCGCACAACTTCCTGGCTCACCTCGCTGGGCACTTGGAAGATCCGGGTATGGCTGCAACACACCATTTAAAGACGGGACTGTTTCCGTGTCCTTCCCACTGGGCACCACGAGACCGCTGGGGTTGCAATCGTGTGAAGGATCCGTTTCGACCCCATTGCCATGGACTTTTGAGCTGACCCTTGACCCTTCCAGTACCACAAACTCAAAGGGTTCTTTCCACTCACCAAGGACCCTAACTTCACTGTCAGCTCTGTGGGATCAGCCACCAGAACAGAGGGGGTGATGGGGGAGAAGGAGCACATCATTCCACCCTCTGTGCATGGAAACCTCCTCTCACCTCCATGCCCCTGAGGCTTCCTTTGGCTTTTGCCCGTTAAGAGCTTATGTTCTTGCAGCTCTCTAAGTGCAGCCACTTCTGAACCAATGAAACCAAAAAGATAGCAAAAGTCTGAAATGCACCCAGAAGCATTGAGGAAAGGGTGAGCAATCCCTGTGTCCCGACCCCTAACATCCTTTTAAAACCTGGGGATGTGCCAAAACCGGTTTGGCTCGGTGGATAGAGCGTCAGCCTGCGGACTGAAGAGTCCCAGGTTTGATTGCAGTCAAGGACATGTATGTTGGTTGCGGGCACATATCCGGTGGGGGGTGTGCAGGAGGCAGCTGATCAATGTTTCTAGCTCTCTCTCTCTATTTTTTTTTTAATTGATTTTTTACAGACAGAAAGGGAGAGGGACAGAGAGTCAGAAACATCAATGAGAGAGAAACATCCATCAGCTGCCCCCTGCACACCCCCAATGGGGAGATGCCCGCAACCCAGGTACATGCCCTTGACTGGAATTGAACCTGGGATCCTTCAGTCCGCAGGCCGACGCTCTATCCACTGAGCCAAACCGGTTTCGGCTAAAATATATATATTTTTTTAAAAAAGCAAAAACAACAACAACAAAACCTGGGGATGTGCTGGGCTTTCCAGGTGGCTAACATACTCCCTGAAGACCCCAAAGGAAGGCCCAGAATGTTCTCGGCCAAAGGCACCAAGCTCTCCAGAGGAGAAAGGCCGTGGGCCTGTATTAGCCAGGGAGCCCACGGCGGCTGGCGGGCTTGCACCTTCTGTGCTTCTCCCTCCTCACCGCGGGGCTCAGAGCCGACGAGGGGTGCTTTACCTCCATCTTATGAACTGAATTCTTGTCCTTTCCTCCAGGACATCTTGACTTGGGCTGGTTAACAAATCGTTCTTGGAGAGACGGTGCTTCACCTAGGAAATCCGGGGAGGGTCCACGTGATCTCGGCCCAAGAAGGATTCTGGGAGCCTGGACATGCCCCACCCACTCAGCCCAGATCCTTGGCAATAGGACCTCCCTCCTTCCCCCTCTCCTCTCCCCACGCCCCCAGGATGATGCTCTCCAACGGCCCCATTACCACGTCTCTGGTCACATGGACACCTTCGCCTTGGATGGGAGGGGAGTTCATGGCCATCTTCTCCTTTATATCCTGGGAAGCCTCTTCTTCAGTCTGGAAGGTGTGTCACATCTCCCTCTTAAAGGGTCACATGGTATCTCACCCCGCCCCACCCCAGTTCTTGCTCTTTTTCCTTCTCTTTTTTCCTTCCTCTTCATCACAACACACACACATGCCACACAGCCACATGCACAAGCTGTAGCTCATGGTGCCTGCAATGAGCTCGCCTACTGCTACCTTCCCATGGGGTCCCAGGGTGTGGGGGGGACTCACTGAGTCCTGGGCCTTGTCCCAAGGTATTCCTGAGACACACTGGAGCAGGGGCGATACTTAGGAAACCCTGAATACAGTGTGCTTGAGAAGGGCTAGTGGTGATTCCAGCGCCTCTCTTACAAAGACACAAGCCCCAGCATCCTCTAGGGCAGTATCAGCAAACTCATTAGTCAACAGAGCCAAGTATCAACGGCATAATGATTGAAATTTCTTTTGAGAGCCAAAAACCGACTTCTGCACATGGGCCACGAAGTTTCAATCGCACTGTACGTGTGCACCTGTACATGGTATTTTGTGGAAGAGCCACACTCAAGGGGCCAAAGAGCCGCATGTGGCTCGTGAGCCGCAGTTTGCCGGCCACGGCTCTAGGACATCTGGTGTGTTAGACACAGCTCTCGGCAGGGCCAATGAACTTGAGTTTCCCATTCTAAGGAGAGGGAAGTCCTGCTCCCCGCCCCTGCTGAGGCCAGCTCTCTAGAATTGGGGGTATCCTGAATCAGAAAGGAATGTTTACTCACTTTTTTCAACCAGTGCTCTACTACAGACACAGCCTCAGTTTCCACAACTTCAATGTCCTGCAACAAATGGGTAAGTTGATGCCCTCAAAATACCTAGCAATCAAGCCCCTCTCCTCCATTCTTGTCCAAATGTATGCATGGTGAGGTCTTCTCTCTAGGACTGCAGTAGGGGGGGCTCCAAAGGGAGAAGATACACGAGAAACGATTCTGCGTGGCTACCGCCAACTTCACCTACCGAACTGGTTTTTGGTGGGAAGGGCCACCCTACAGTTTTCCGGGTGAGAATGTAGGCAATCCATGTGGTAATGATCATCTTTGGACTTATGCCAGGCCTCCTACTGGGCTCCCTCCGTCCATTGAAGCAGCCTAAGAACTCTTCTGGAACAAGAAGGTCATTGAAGGGAGGTGCCCACCTGATTGGCTGCCCAATGATGATGTAACAATGCCCTTTATTCTCCAGAGTGAGAGTGGAGATAGAAAAATCATAAAGTAACCTACTTCAATGATGCCATAGCTTAGAAATGGGGAGGTATGGGGAGGGAGGAGGGAAGGGTATAGCCAATATGAGTCTGAGAAAGACACAAGAGGGAAGTTACTAAATGATAGATAGAGATTGTGGGGGGGGGGGGGGGGTCTTATAGCTGGTCACCAGTTTTGACAATGCTGAAGGAGAAAGATATGAATCAAAAAGAATAAATTTGTAACAAAATGACCAAGGCCCTCTAGATATTCATTCAAACAATGCCACTGGCATTTTTTATTCTTATTCTTATATGGGGGGGGGGGGGGGGATAATCCAAATTGTGAGATCCTCCCTCCCCCTAACTGGTGGGCGGAGTTATGACTTTACCAGCATCTGACATCCCCAAGACATTAAACTACCGATCAGCATGTGCCGAGTGCCCTCAGGCCTACCCCTTCCTATTCCACCCTGGGTCCAACCCTTTCCTATTCCTCCCCTCAAAAGGCTCTTCACCACTCCCAGTGTCACTGCTCTCCATTTCTGACTGTGGAGGCCTACCTGGTTGGGTCCCTTCTCCTCTCGTCCTAATTTCTCTACCTCCATAATGAGTCCCGCTCATTACTGGGGAATAAATCTTCCTTTAATATGTCTTGGTGGACTCTGACTCATTTCCTGGGTCTCATTCTCAAAAACTCCACTACAAGTTGAATAATTCTTCAGGGTAGTTGTGCTTTGTGTGGTGACTTAGAGATCCAGGAAGAATTCCATTTTCTGGTTCCATGGCCTCAAGATGTGATCCTCCATGACTCTCAAAGCAATAACTTAGGACCATTTTTTTTAATAGAATAAAGTCCCTAAATAACAATTATGATATGAGACAAGAGCCCCGTGTGTCTGCTTTAAAAAAGTAAGACCAAGTTCTATGAAAAATATCAAGATATTAATGATTGCCTTCTAAGGAACAGGGAAGGTGGGAAGATGTAATAGGAACTAGACAGGAATGAAAACGGAGAGATCATTAAAGCAAAAGGAAGCCAGACAGACAGCCAAGGGCTCTCCTGGTATAACAGCCCCACTCATGGCTTTTAGGGCGTCTTATATGGAGACTTTGCACACCATGGCCGATGTTTTAAATTTGTAGATGGACCTACTTTCAATTTTGTTTGTTTAGCTGGTGGGTTCACTGATTTCCTCATTTGGACTAGAGACTTTCAATGGGAATGCTATATTTTGGTATTTGCCCTTCACCTAAAGACCAACTACAATGGAAAATAAGCACAGTAGGGGTTGATAACCAGAGTATTTAGGAGACAGAACAGGGAAAGAAGTCAAAACAGGAGGAAGATGATGTGGTAAGGGGAGGGAAAGTGTGTGAGGCAGGTAGTTAGATCACCAAAATCAACCTGGAAAGAACCCGGTGAGGCTGGGTGCCTCTCTCCTTTGGTGAGAGAGGTGGGATTTGACTGCAGGGAGTCACTGAGTCACTGGCTCCTGGGTGTGAAATGTGGTCCAGAGTCGACTTGTTGGAGTCACATTTAGACAAAATGGTATTAACCAAAAAAAAAACACAAAAAAAAAGACTTTGTCACATAATTGTAGTCAGTCTATCTTCTGGTTCTTAATGGTTTTGGATATTGTTAAAAAAGAAAAAAATCCAGTTAAAAACATGTGCATTCGTCCTAGCCAGTTTGGCCTATTGGCTAGAGAGTCAGCCTGTGGACTGAAGGGTCCCTGGCTCCATTCCAGTCAAGAACTTGGACCTCAGCCCTGACCGATTTGGCTCAGTGAATAGAGCGTCAGCCTGCGGATTGAAGGGTCCCAGGTTTGATTCCGGTCAAGGGCATGTACCTTAGTTGCGGGCACATCCCTAGTAGGGGGTGTGCAGGAGGCAGCTGATCGATGTTTCTTTCTTATTGATCTTTCTAACTCTCTATCCTTCTCCCTTCCTCTCTGTAAAAAAATCAATAAAATATATTATAAAAATAAATAAATAAATAAATAAATAAATAAATAAATAAATAAATAAATAAAAGAACATGAACCTCAGATGCAGGCTCCTCCCTGGCCTGGGTCCTGGTCAGAGTGTGTGTCAGAGGCAACCAATTGATGTGTTTCTCTCACATTGATATTTCTCTCTGTCTTTCCCCCTCTCCCACTCTCTCTAAAAATCAATGGAAAAAATACCCTCGGGTGAAGATTTTTTTTTTTTAAAGTGCATTTGACACAAGCATAGGCAAGTCCCCTTCCAGTTTATGCTCAGGTGCTGTCCTCAGGGAGGCCCACCCTGAGAGCTCAATGTTCAGCTGCAACCGCGACCCTCCCTTTGTACATCGGGGCCCCTCGTCCTGCTCCATGAATCCCCAAAGCACCTGTGGCCACACAGCATTCTACGTGACTCTCTTATGGCATGAAGTGTTCACTGCCGGTCCCTTCCCACCAGCACGCGAGCCCGGGAGGAACAAGTACCTGGACTATTTCGTTCCCTGTTGGCTCCCAAGTGACTGGGACAGCGGACTAACACATCCTAGTGCCCTCGGTACACATCGGCTTAGTAAACGAGGAGGCGTTCCTTAACTCCTTTCAGAATCATGTTAGACTGCGACTTCAAAATGGGTTGATTAGGGAGACCTAGGCCACAGGTGACATTAACCAACACCGGTAGATCCTCCTGGGAACAAATAAACATTGGAAATACACTTTCTTTTTTTTTTTGCAAATGTTTATTTATAGCAAAATACAAAACATTTCTGCAGCAGACTAATGTTACATGAGAAGCAGTTAAATACTAAACTTTTTCTTGTAATCCGTTTAACTGGCAACACTTTCCAAGCACACCTTCAGGGGCTTACACATCTGCTCATGCGATGCGCCTCTTTTTACTTTTCTTTTCTGTTTGCTCATGTGTGTGTTTGCTTGTTTTCTTTTTAACTCGCTATATGAACATGCAGTGTTACTGGCAATGAGTTGGTTAGTAGCCGGCAAGCCTGAAAATACCAGCGAGTGGAGCCTGGCATGGCTGCCCGAGCCACGGCGACTCGAGCCACGGCAATTGGAGCCATAACAGCCTGAGCCATGGCAACCCGAGTCCCAACAGCCGAAGACTCATCCTCTCCCTAAGTGAGTTAGAGGCGTCACTCAGTTTTTAACTGGTGAGAGTCTAAGGTCAAAGGACTCACTGTCCTTGGTAGCTAGGGAAGGCAATATTGTTCAGGGCCTCAGAGCAGGCGTGGCTCAGGGGTCCTCTGCAGTTGGGTCTTCTTTGTTGATCAGGAAGAGGGGGAGGACCACCCATCAGAGCCCACCTAGAGGGGCAGCAGCTAGAACAGGCCCAGACCCAGGTTGAGAGGTCAGGGGCTACGGAAGGAGGTACCCCCTGTCCCAAGAAAGCCAGCAAGAGCGGAGGAGAGGGTTCCGCCCGTCCTGACAGTCTGTGACTTGGTGGCTGGAGGAGCCTGCCTCCTGGACAGGCCCTTTGTAAATGCTTAGGGTTTGTAGACTTTGAGGAAAAAGCACCTAGTGGAGAGTGTAGCTTTTCCATATACACACCTCCATTTCCTGACAGCAAGGAGAGGGGTGGAGATAAGACACAGGCCATTGCCATGACCACCCCACTCCCAGAGTGAACCTGGGCCTCCCTCTCAGGCCCCTGGGGAGAGCATTCACTTTGGCATGCGCACCTGTATGCACTCCACACACGTGTGTACACACACACACACACACTCACACACATGCCAGCCCTCGCACATGCACACACACAAACACAAATGCCTGGTTTCCTTTCGGAGTCTACTCGGGAAGCAGAATGGTCCCACCTTCACCATCATCCTCTGCTCCAAAGGGTCCCCTTGGCCACAGGTCCCCAAGACCCAGCCCCAGGCTTGGCACTCGCTGGCATTCCCAGGCTTTGGAGAAGGTGGTGACAGAGCAGGGAGCTCACCAGAGACAGGTTATACAGAGTGTAGAACATGTTCACATAAGGCTTTGGTACAGCACCAATTGAATGTTCTTAAGAGTTTGATTTCTAAGTTGTCTCGTAGAAGAAAAAAAAGCTTACTGAAAAAATAGTGTCTTTTATTTACTTTTCAGTTACATACCTGAAGTTCAAATAGTAAGCCTCGAGTTGCCATTCAAGTTCACACTCAAAGGTGTTTCCGTGTGCAGCTGTACAATCTGTTGGTTTGTCTTTCATTGTTAACCAAAGTCAGCCAACCGATACCATGAAGTCAGCTGCCCATGATCACTGACTTTAACCAGTCCATACATACAGAAAAGAGAAAACACAAAAGCAGCCCCACCCCGCCTCCCTCCCCAAACCCCGGTGGAAATAAGGGGAGGGGATCAAATAAAAAATAAAATAAAAACACAGCGAAGTTTAAGGAACCAGTGGAGCAGAGGAGGTTCAGTCCAGCTGGCCTCTTCAGGAACAGCACCATAAAGCACCCTAGCGCGGTGATGTAATACTCGACATTCAAGGAATGGAAACGAGTCTGAGGGGGTCTTCCGGAGACCTGGCATGGATGGGGGCTGACCCCCAAAGGAAGTTGAAGGAGGAAATAAGAGAGTCCGAAATGAGAGCAAGAACTCCCGAGACGAAACTGATTAAGTCGTATCCAGACTCATTAGAAAAGAAGAAGGAATGCAAGAGGCATCTAGAGGTATGGACTCTTTAAGAGGTCTCGAGGAGGCAGCCTCAGAAGCCCCTCCCCACACCCACACTGCCTGGTCACCCCCCTCGGCATGTCCACAGAACACAGGGTGAAACGGGGGAGTGCAATGCTGGCAAAATTGCCTCCAGCTGTGCAATGGAAGAATTCCGTCCAGGATGATACATTTCTCCTGGGACAAGAGGA